TGTTGAACTACCGAGTAAACGGTCCTGCCTAAAATCTCTGGCCTTATTGTCTGCCCAGGTTACTCTCGTGGCAAATGTCATTAACAAGTTCAGCGAAGGTTTTTAATGCCGAAGAAGTGTGTGTGGACAAGATAACAAGGCAGTCTCACTGCGGAGCTTTTAACGTCTTATCCATGTGTCATGACCCACCTTCACATCGAAGATGACTTTTCCACGGAATCGTCCGACCCTTCCTTTGACCCAAGGGCCACGTCCTAATCGATAAACCAGAGTGCACCAGGGAGTTCCAACCTCAAATGGTGTACCGGGTGCCACGCGTGGAGGTTCCAGGCGTTTGCATTTTACTAGCGACATGGCCACGTTTGTTTTCCTAAACCTACGACACACGAGCTCCCGGTGTTGCGACTGTCGACTAAGAAGAGACTCGGTGTTGTGCGATATACCAAAGAAAATTTTGAAGGCTGTCGACAGACGTCATCAGGCTTCAAGTTGTCGAGGTACCTTTCAGCCTGTCCATTTAACTGTAGATGTTGGGGATGGGACTGTGTCTGTGGCCTAGGGATTGGAGAAACCTTGGAAAGATTATTGAAGGCGTGCTGGTATTCAGGAGTTGTCCTTAACTAAGTCTGTCTTGTATTGTCTATTTATGGCCAGTGGAGATAGCTGCGAGCGATGAACTTCTGGTGGCCGTCGCCCCGGTGCTCTGAGTTTAGAACCCGCGAACAAAGGGCGGGGCTTACACACCACGACGAGTTCTCCGAACATCAAGCAGTCGTTTATCACACAGGAAGAGATGCGTTACTGAGAAGACTATTGGAGACCCCTGGTGATGGAACTCTGACCATCTACCTTGGACGTAGTGGATGGCCTGTTAAAGTGTGCTTTCTGACGCGGTCTCCCGTTTAAAAAGCGAGAATCAAGACCTGTAACTCGCGGACTATTCCTTAAAGGTGGTTCATGGAGTGAGGTAGTACGTAAGTTTTGGATCTGAAGGTGGAAGGCAACAGCTCCTTTTTTGTTAGAAGTGGAACTGCGCATCCATAAACGAGTTCATGGAAACGGCGTAATATAAAGACCAAAGGTAGACCTTCTTTCTCAATCTGTTAATACCGTTGCTTAACGATTGCGGCGCTTCACTTATGTAACTTGTCTGCTGGGCTGGCAATAATTAGTAGGTTGACGGGGTATGCTACCACACCAGGAAGGCTACACAGAAGATTACCCATCAATTATTGGAAAATGGCTGGAGCCGACTT